TTCCGCCGGGGCCCGGTGCCGCAGGCCGGGCGCGCCCCTCGCTCCTCGCCCCGTGGTCAGGTCAGCAGTTTCTCAGCAGCTGCAGGGGCCGGTGAAACTAACTTTGCTGGCGAGTCGGTCCCCGTTCAATACGCTGCCTTAAAAGTGTCATAAATAACAGAAAAAGTTTCGTTAGCGATACAAGCCTTTCTGCAGAAATGAGCCGTATTGCTACCGGAGCAATAGGGAAACATCCAGCTCAGATGGTTTTAAATGCTTGGATTATGGAAATCCTTGGTTAGTCCGGCGGGCTTTATACACCAGCAGAGTCTGTCTTTTCAGGGCACTCGTAAGCTTCACAGCACCATCTACAAACACTTTTGGGAAGACACAAGTGCCGTGCACCCACTCTGTCGGGGCCGGCGGATTTGCTGCTGCGCTCCCGGCTCCTGCCGACGGGCAGGGCTGCAAGGACACGTGTGGGAACACCGTGCCAGGGGGCTGCTGGAGAAAAAACACTGCCAGGAGACAGAAATGGCTCTCTGGAAGTGATGAGATGGGTGCAACAGGTGCTTGGGTGGTTTCAAGCGTGGGATAAACTTCTAACAGGTAAATAAATGTATGTGTGACTAAATAAGGCAACCTGCTCTGAATACATGGAATACCTGGGATCATGAAGACTGTGGCTCCTATAAAATTTTGTAACAGATGAAGGTTTTTATCACTTGGGTAAAACCAGCAGAATATATGGGCTTGTACCAGTTTTGAATTGGCCTAATGTCCTCATAGTAAAATGTGGAATATCCCTGTTCCTACATACGCAGCTTCTATTGAAAGCATTGAATTATATGGAATAAATTTGTTTTACTGTCTTTATATTTGAGTTACTCTCTTCACTGGCATCTGCTGTAAACGACTTATTTTCCCGGGAATTTGCACTTGCTCCAGATAATTAATTTCCATTAGGAAAGTTGGTCTGTCAGTCGTTTAATTATGAAGTGTGCTAATGAATGTGGCTAATAAAATTCAGGTTCATCCTTCTCTACTATGCTCATAACAAATAGGTATTCATTCTAGTGTTCAAATGCTTGAGAGGGCCTTTCAGACATCACTTTGGGTAATGCTCTCTTGAGAGTATTGGGGAAGCTAATGTGACAGGCTTGGAAAGTGCCGAGTGCCCTTGTTTTCCAGAGGAACTGGCAGTATTGAGGTTCTCAGACGCTTGCTTGACTTGGTTGATCATGTGTACAAAGCTTCTAGAAGGCAGCACACATGGAAAAAACCACAGATGCTGTAAAAGCAGCACCTTTGTCACTTGATCACATACTTGGTGTCACTTTGATCATGTACTTGATGTACGTGAAAAAGACTTAGCCAAATCCCAGATATTACTGAAGTTAAAACAAAATTGAGCTTCCCCATAAGTATCCCTGGGCAAACCTCCTACCATGTCAGGTAGGAGCAGAACCATACAAGCTCAACTGCTAAAAAATAAATGTGTGTGAAACCATTCATGTATCATTCTGCAAACAAATTGGTTTTCCAGGTTGTTTTGTTGTATTCTAATAAATGATAAGAAAAGACTACAGAGACTTCTTAGCATGTCCTGTACCTAGTTTAAACCTGGCTGGTTTCACCTGTGCCATTTAAAGAATGTTAAAAGATCTGTTTAAAAAGCTGATTATTCAGGTTATTTCCTGTAAGCTGCTTTAGAAATTACTGAAGGACTATTTAATACATTTAAAACATTGAAATAGTCTATGTTTTTTGATGTTTATTTTCATATTTTTTTATGGATTATAACAAAGTGGTTAGCATTTCACTGGAGATTTAATTTCTCCAGGAGCAGCAGCCTAGGTAGAGGAAAATGCAGACTGCTTTTTGAAAATTGTGGTTGATGTTATAAAAATTGTCAATAAAGGCTGTACTGTTGGCATCTCAACAAGATTTAAGCTGATAAAATGACATTTTTTGGAAAATGCTGACTGAAATTTCATTTAAAGCAGTCTTGGACTCACAAATTGTGAGAAGAATGTAAGAGTGTAGGTGTAAGGATGGTGTAATTTTCTGTATTTTTTGAGTTCCTCATCTTTTGTGGGATGTAAAGTTTTTTACAATGAGAAAATCAGCCACTGGAAAAATCTCCTGAGAGAAGCAGTGGATTCCCCAGCAATGGGAAATTTTAAGATTTGGCTTATCGATTATCTTGTCTAGACCATGCTTTTGCCAAGAAAAATTGGACGAGATGGTCCTTGAGGTCCCTTCCAACTTGATGTTCTGTGTTGCAGTCTAAGTATTTCTGTTCTTGTTTCTATAATCAACAGAGGTTTTGTTTTCTCAGGAGGAATTCCATTACCTGATAACATTGATTGTGCTAGAACAGACAACAAAAAGTTTTGGCTTGAAATGTAATAGTGCTTAATACAAAAATATAGACCAGTGCACATCTTCATAAATTGACTGGTATAGGTTAAAATAGTATCCTTGTGATTTTGCAGCAATATTCAGTTTATAATAACTGATCTGCAGGCTTTACCAGTAATTTAGACTGTCTCCATTTGCTTCACATTTACTTCTAATGATAGTGTTGCCCAAATAATGCCATCATATTTGTATCCCATTTATGCTTTTCCTTAGGACTATTTATTTATTTATTCATTTGTTTATTTAAATTTCTGTATGTACTGGCCTCTTACACAATCATCTCTAGCAGCTGCCTTTAACCTGTGATCCTGACTTCAAGTAAATACAAGATCTTTTCTTTCAAATTAAGCCAGCATGAGTTCTGTTCAGCTATTTTCAAACAAAAATTTCTCTTGCAGGGAATTCCCATTTTCATCTGAGATGATCATGTTTTTTATCTCTTTTTAGCTAAACAGATCAAGTTCTGGGAAAAATGAGGAGAAGAAAGGGAATAAGGGAAATGGGAAAAGTGAATCTGCTTCTGAAGGTGGAAAGACAGCTGTGGTGTTTTCCTTGAAGAATGAAGTTGGTGGATTGGTGAAAGCTCTCAGACTCTTCCAGGTAACGCTTACAAATCATTTATGCTGGCTGGACAGAGGATGGCTACTGAGGCCAGGCTCTGTTGATATCAATCTAATGGACCGTGGCAGGAGAAACAGAGTGCAGCTACACTCACCCTGAAAAATTGAATAAAAGTAACTTTAAATTTTATGGACCATTGAGCAAAGCATTTTGGGCTTGTGAAGGGTTTTCTGGAATAAAGTTTGACAGTGATGCTGATGTTCACATGATTCACTTTACGTTTCTGACGTGATTCTCAACACTGTAAGCTAGGTTTGAAGTTGTCTGTGCAGGTCACAATGAAAGGAGGAACTTTCAGAGAGCAGTTTGGCATCTATGTTACATACAGTCAGGTGATGCTGGTGGCAGCCTTGCTTGGTCTTCAAATTAGAGACACCTTTAAGTGTTTGCAGGGTCAGGGTTTTATGTGTCTAACTGGAATGTAAATTGTGAGGTATTGGTTCCCAGGCAGATCCCCATGCAATCAGTGCTTTTCAGTCAGAATCCTGGTCAGAATGCTTGGAGGTGTGTCTGAGGATCATTAAAGCAGCACAATAAAAGTCTTATGTTGTTCAGTCTGTGCAGCGAAGGGAATGTTAGGAGGTGGCTTGGAGCATGCCTCTCAGGCCAAACCATCAGAGGGATGCAAGTGTGGGATCACTGGGCCTTATCAGGCCTCTCTCATAGTAGCTGACTCTGGGAACAGAATCCCAGGCATGTAAATTCTCCAGCCAAGAAAAAGATGTGAATTAGACCCACAGGAGAGAGTTTGCCAAGAAGCAGAGTGTTTGGCGAAGAGGGGAAGCCTAAGTGAGTGAATAGAAGTTGCCTTAGGAACTGTGTTCTCAAAGCAGCTGTTCTCCAAGGGTTAAGTGTCTAACTGCAGCTCTGGCTGAAATGCTGGTATGTGTTCACACCTGAAGTTCTGGATTTAAACATCTGCTACCCCTTCTTGGGAATAGGCATAGAACTCTGGTCTCTTAAATTGTGTCTGGAAGATGTGGTAGGAATGAATATCCACCCCCATCCACGTAGTCACTTAACAATTTGAGTACTACAGGGGGGAGTGCAGGGTTTTGTTCTCAACCTAGGGAAGACAAAATTGAATTTCTGTGATTGGGTTGCTACACTGTATACACAGCTATGGAGCACACCAGTGAAAGAACTCTGTGTATCCAGAGGTATAAAAACAGACATTGCTGGTTGGATCTACCAGAGGAGACGGCCACCTGAAATGGATATTTTTGTAAAATACAGCAGGCAAGTGGAAATACAGACACAAATTTCTTCCCTTTTGGGAGTCAACGAGTGTTTTACTGGCTTCACTGAGTAAGTGCAAGAATAGTTGTGAAAAGTAACAGATAGTTTCTGTCTAGCAAGAAAAAGGAAGAATCAGAGTCCATAGGAGGTCAGTCATGTTGAGAACAGCCGTCTAATCCAACCTCCTGTTTTGAAGCAGGGCTGTCACACTAGATCAGGACAGCCATAGCACATTATGGTTATCTGTCTTTTTATGATACTCTTGGCAGACCAGTAGTTGTGGTGGGAGAGAGACCCCACAGGAAAGTTTTCATGGTAAAAGTATTTACACTGATGTTTGTAGCACGATTTCTGTTTGATGGGGACATTGCAATTGAGAATAAATTGAGGTAGATTTTAATTATATTGCTATTAACACTTATGTTATTGATAACTGCACAGTACATAGGTGAGGATTGATACAAATTTATTCTCATAAAAGTATTTTCTTCCTCAGGTAGTTAGGTGTGTCGAGTAATATTTTTAATAACGTCTGTTTGAAGAAGCATACTCAATTATATTTAAATTAGCATTATTATTATTATGCAAATTACTGACTAAAATTGCATTAGAATTTAATATTTCTAGCAATGATAAGTATAAAATTGCATTAAATAAATAAAAAATTGTGTTATACTGTCCTCTGTAAGAGATTGTTTTGATAGATAAAATGAAATAATTACTTGGCTTTCTTAATTAATTTTTTTTTTTTTTAAACTTTCTATGTAAAGTTATTTTTTGTCATTGGTATTTAGCATGTGCCACTAACTAATCCTGTAAATAGAAAAAGAGAGTACTTTCAATAAAAAGACCTTTTAATATCTGGAAAACTTTCCTGAGGAATGTGCCACCAATATTGCCCTTCTGACATTGCTGTTCTAGGTATGTCTGTATTTCATCTGTTATTTCATCTTTCCACAGGAAAAACACGTGAGTATGGTTCATATTGAATCACGAAAATCAAAGAGAAGGAATTCAGAGGTGGAAATTTTTGTGGACTGTGACTGCAGTAAGAAAGAATTTAATGAACTAATCCAGTTGCTCAAGTTTCAAACTAATATAGTATCTCTCAATCCACCAGAAAACATCTGGACTGATGAAGAAGGCAAGGCTGTTTTTATCACTTGGTTTAGACACTGTCAGATGTTTTGCACAGGTATCTCCATGATCTTACACTCCAGCACATTCAATCTGCTTTCTGTCTCCTGCAGACCTCGACTGTGTCCCTTGGTTCCCCAGGAAGATCTCTGAGTTGGACAAATGTTCTCAGAGAGTTTTGATGTATGGATCTGAGCTGGATGCTGATCACCCTGTAAGTGTAACACAAAATTCTCCAGTAGATGATTTGTTGGGTTATTTGCCAGTCAAGTAAAAAGCCTGTTGGCTGCTGATTGTTTTCAGAAGATGAGGACTGGTTTCTCTTTGGTAGTTTCAGTGAATTATTTTTCCTTTTCTGTAGAAAGATACACAAAATGCAGATCCTCCACAAAACTTATTCATTGTTTAGTGAGTATATCCTCTTTTGTACTAGTTGCATTTAAAAAACAATAAATTGGTTGATAGAAAGGTTTCAAACTTTAGAATTTAGATCAATGTGACTTTCAGTTCTGCCAGAAGTAGATCTTGGGTAAGAGTTACTATTGTTAGTAGGTGACGGAGAAGAAAGAATTATGAAGGAATTATTTGGCACTCAGGAGATAATTACAAGATAAAACAGAGAAACATGTTCCTGTTTTTGATGAATGCAGCAGATGGGAAGGTGTCTCTCATTGTTTCCTGACTTTGGTGGCAGGAGACAAGCCTTCATGCACAATTTGTATCTGTAGTAGTGTCAAATGCTCAATGCAAAAGACAGAAAAAAGGGATTTGTTATTTTATTTCTTTTGGCTAATGGCTATAAATGCTTAATCTCTGAGTTTTTAGATGCCAGATGATTGCAAGTATTTGTGTTAAAATATTTTCTCTTTCTATTAATCCAAGTTTCTACCTCTGAATGACTTGACTGAAAGATGCTGGTGGTAGGTAGTTATATTAATTCCTAAACCAGGAATGGATTAAACTGTTGTCAGAAATTTCCATCTGAAAGGAAGTAGGCAGTGAACTAAGATATCTGACCATAAGACTGTCTTGTAATAGAATCAGATTAAACTCTAACTGTTGATGGTAGTTTCCTCTGTTTTTTGTTGCACACATTTTGTGCAGTGATGGGTGCTCAGGCACAGATTCTCACCCCTGCACACAGAAGCCAAACCATCACAAAGCTCCATGGCAGCCCCACTGTCCCTGGTGTCACCTGTCCACATACCAGCCACAATCATCATCATCATCATCATCACCACCACCACCTTGCTTGGTTCTCAGCCTCCTGTATCATGTGGGAACCCTTCCCATACTGAGGGTCCATATTCAGGGAGCACGTTCCTGAATCCAGGTTTCTGCCCTGTACTTTTGGATGACAAACTGGGATTTAATTCACATTTTCTCTGAAAGGAAAAGCCTGTTGATTATCTTCAACCATTTACCATAATTTGGTTCAAACAGAGGTTGTAGAGACAGCTCATTCCAGCTTTGAGTTTATGGCTGTGACAGGCCATTACATGCTGCTTTATGTTCTGAGCTGGTACCTTCATTAAATACTTGAGCACTCTGCTGAAAATTTGCCTTCAGTTTTACAGAAAACTAAAAAAGGACATTTGCATGGTATGAATATATATTTTACACTTGGGAGGACTCTTACAAACACAATTTACACACCATTTGGTAGCCTATGCAGCATGCTAGATGTTGGAAATGGGGTAAGAACCCTTCAGTCTGTGACTGACCTTTGAAAGGCCATTCCAGGTGCCTGCCCTGTTCCTTAGCAGAGGTGTGTATGTGCCAGAGGACCAAAGAGAATTCTCCTATTACAGAGCCTGTATGGATAGCACCACTTCAGCAGCTTAACCCACTCCACAAAGGCTAATGATTTCAGTCTCAGTTTCATTATACCTGACAGGCTTTTAAGTCCCCTGTTGTCTTCCATCACTTTCCAGGTCTCTTGAATGGTCTTCAGCTGAGTAACTCAAAATTTACCTCAAAAGGTCTCCTGAATAAGGAGATAAGGAGGGTCCCCCAGATTACAACAATTTTTTAGCAGTCAAAGAAGTTTTCTGTGCAGGAGTGGAGGTTTAAAGGCTTTCTGTAGTCCTGTGAAATCCTCCCATGCTCTGCCCCAGCAGCACAGCTTTGGTTATGGGACAGTAAAATGTTTTCTGAGTTTTATGGAAGCTCATACAAGTATTTCAAATCAAGCAATGTTATCTTTTCATTTGTTTCAGTGTTTTGCATTTGTCTATGTAAGCAGTAAGGAAAAAAAGACATTTTTATTTTCAGCTTTGGCTGGGGAAAACTTAAATGCACTTGCTGGGCAACTTAAACAACTCTTTACCCTTTTGTATATTCAGGACATTGGCAGTTCTACTTTGAAAATAATTTACTCTTCTTATAGTCCAAATCTGAAGTGTCTTTATATTTTCAAGATATAGAAAAGATCTTGTTCTAATTTTGAATAGCTCAAAGAGCTGTAACTGGCCAACATGTATGTGTTATGCAACTCTTTTGCTCTTAATATGGAAAAGGTGTGAGCCTACTGTAGCCCATGAGGTAGAGCCCTTCCTTTGTAACTCAGGCTGGTGCTGGAGGCTGATGGTTCAGTTCCTAATGTGTTTGTTGAGATGGCAACTGCTTAAATAAGAATCTTCAACATGAGTTGCATAGATGATCCTTAGATGCTTGGTTCTAGAGAAGAAAGAAGTATGAAGAACAGGTAGATTATTGTGCCATGTACCTGTGTGTAGATCTCAGTTCAGATCGAGGAAAACATGAGCGAGATAAAATGTCAGGGAAAAAAGTTTCCCTTTTCAACATCTTGGATGAATGATTGTACCTTTGTCCTGAAAGACCTCCTGTGGAACTCCAGTGAAGAAAAAACATCCTTATTTTCTCTTGCAGTCCAACTAGAGACTGTCAATCAAAATTCAAAGCAACTAAGTACTAAATAAACACTTTAATGATTTATTTTATAATTCTTACAGCTAATTTTATGTCCTTATTGTAAATTACTTTCTTCTTCCTTGCTTAAGGGATTTAAAGACAATGTCTATCGACAGAGAAGAAAGTACTTTGTGGATGTTGCCATGAGCTATAAATAGTAAGTACTGGCATAACTCTTCCTTGTGCTGCTGACTAGTTAGAATTCATGCTCTACTTAATTCTGTAGGATGAAGTTTAACAGTAGACAAAGTCATCCTTTAAACTTTGACTAGTTTAGTGTAGGCTATAAATTGCGAACCTGATGCTTGGAATCCTGCTACGTTTTTGATATAGCTACAGGAAAGTAAAGCATTCGAAATGCAGGCGCTCTCTCTTTTAGTGTTTTATTCACAGCTGCTTAAACCTTGGAAAATATTTTATGGGTATTTACATGTCTTACTGACAAACTGATGCACTGCTGAATCACACATATCTAGCATCCCTACACAGTTAGAAGAGCTCACTAAACCCCAAAATTATTTTTTTCTTTTGATGTACATACTATACTTGGCTGAGGCCAATAGCATGAGGTTCAACAAACCAGGTGCCAGGTCCTGCATTTGGGTCCCAACAACCTGCAGTGCTGCAGGCCAGGAGAAAATTGGCTGGAGAGCTGCTCAGTGGAAAATGATCTAGAGGTGTTGGTCAGCAGCATCTGACCTGAGCCAGTGTGTGCCCAGGTGGCCAAGAAGGCCAATGGCATCCTGGCCTCTACCAGAAATGGTGTGGCCAGCAGGACCAGAGCAGTGATTCTCCCCTTGTACTCAGCACTGGTGAAGCCCCATCTCAAGTCCTGTGTCCAGTTTTGGGCCCCTCACTGTAAAAAGGACGGTGAGGTGCTGGAGCGTGTCCAGAGAATGGCAATGGAGATGGTGAAGGGGCTGGAACTCAAGTCTGGTGGGGAGGGGCTGAGGGAGCTGGGGTTGTTCAGCCTGGAGAAAAGGAGGCTCAGGGAAGACCTTATCACTCTCTACAACTGCCTACAAGGAGCTTGTGTGAGGTGGGGGTTGGCCTCTTCTCCCAGATAACAAGTGACAGGATGAGAGGAAATGGCATCAAGCTGCACCAGGGTTTAGACTGGGTATTAGGAAACCTTTTTATTGAAAGGATGGTTGGGTGTTGGAGCAGGCTGCCCAGGAAAATGGTGGCATCACCACCCTTGCAAGTGTTCAAAAGGTGTTTGGATGTGGCACTTTGGGACAAGGCTTAGTGGTGAACATAGCAGTGCTGGGTTAACAGTCGGACTTGGTAATCTTAGAGGTCTTTTCCAGCCTTAACAATTGTATGATTCTATGATTGTACTGGGTACTGCAAAATGCCATATATTGGTTTTGCCAATACAGCTCCAAACTTCTTAGAATTTAGTCAGTGCATTTTTATGTAGTTAGAGAATATGGTGGCTGAGCACAAGTACACTGCAAGTGTTTTCTCACTCTGATTTTTTTTCCCTGTTTCAAGTCAGTATTTTCAATTTGCTACAGTGCCTGGAAGTTAGGAAACTTGCTGTTCTACCTACAAACACCTACTGGGTTGCAATTTTCTTGTCACAGAAGCACTCAACTAGTTCTAATCCTACTCTAGGTTTTATTTGCAACAGGTTTAAGCCCTCTTTCTCAAGGGAAAGAACATATTAATTTCATGTTCTTTTCCATTTTCTTCTCTACACTTCTTCGGGTTTTTCATTTTTTCTCCTTTGAGATTTCTACCTACGTGGTTTAAGAATACGAAATGTGCAAAATTTCTTTCCACTTATAGGAGGCACATCCTGTCAGGAATCAAGTAAAAACTGAATTTTTGAAGGTTTTTCAGTATAAGGCTACTATACAGCCTGCAGAAGGCTGGGGGGACAGGAGAATTAACTCTGCTTTTTGACCATATAATTTTGATTATATTTTTCCTTTACTTTTGTCCCATGCCAGTCATTAAGATGTTACCAGTCTTACTCATGTAGGTGCTGGTGTTCTCTCCCCTTTCTGCCCACAGTGGAGTTTGTTTAGCTGGATGCTGATGACATCCATCCAGCACACTGGGCTGCTGCCTGCAGGTGTTTATTAGTAGAGAAGCTCTCTAGGCTGCCCAGGTAATCTCTGAGTTTAGCCAGCTTTCAAATGTAGATTGAGATACCTTTTTTTTTTTGTTAGAATGTTTGTTTAAAGCTGATTGATTTATTATCTTCCTTTTAGTCTAATGCTTGCAGTGAAGTTAGTGCTTCTTGCCTAGCATCTACTGCAGTGTGAAATGTCAAGTGGATACCTGTGGATGAGGGCAGGCTGTGTGTGCTTTCAGCTCTTTCAGTAAGAGGGATGGTTCTCTATTTATCCATGATGGTAGCAATAGTGCTGTGCATTTCACAGCTGCTAACTTGCTGGAAAGATCTTCCTTCCTTCTCCCTCTCAGCTGCCTAAGTATGGTGACACAGCTGGCTTGCTAAGCAGTAGTCAGTCTTTTGCTTCAAAGTGTGGTGTTTTTTTCCACCCTGAAAACAGAAGAGAAACAGCTTTTTTGAAAAATAACATAAAGTAATACTGCATATTTCCAGAAAATAAAACAAAGAAAGGAAAGAAAAACCTTTTCCTTCTTTAGATTTTGAAGGCTTAGGAACATTTTTGCAGTCACATTTCAAAAACTAAAAATCCAAACCAGAGCTTATTTGAGGACCAGATCTTAAACTTCAGCAAAACTGCTCAGATGTACTCCTTCATTCCACTCATCTTTTCAAACCTTCAAAAGATTTCAATCTTGTCCTACTATTACAAGCAGAAAGAAAAGAAGGGGCTCCAAACACTCTTAGCCAGGGACCAGGGAAATTGGGAGATCAGTGCTTTGGGCAGTTACCTAATGTGTCAGAAATCTCATTCATACTTCAGGTCTCCTGCACAGGTTATCCTTCCCCCAGGGACATGCTCTATCTGCTTGTCTGGATGGTCAGTGTCTCTGGGTATCTGGGCAGAGACAGCTCTGGCAGACAGCCTCAGTATCCTGCTGCAGCACAGCCCAAGCCATGCTGAGGAAAGGCAAATCAAACCCACAGGGAAGACTGTGCTGCTACAGCTGGGCTGTTTCTGCTGCCCAAGCTGTGGAGCTGAGTTATTACAGGTGTCTTGACACTACAGCACAGTCTCACCACACTCCCTTCTGTTGTCTAATGACTGTTCACTTATTTCTACAAAAAGAACAGCTCTTTTACAAGAGCTGCTCTCCTTGGGGTAAACATCTCTCAGTGTCTTCCAGTCAAGTGACCTTCCTAATCACTTACTGAGGCTTGATGTGTTTCTACTTTCCATATTAATTTGTAAAAAAAACCAACAACCCACATTAGTTTCCTTAAAAATACCCAGAGATTTGGCTGCAAGGAATTGGCTTCATAAAAAGTTGATTTGAAGATCCCAGATCAGCATTTCCTTCATGAATTGCTATAGTGGTAGATGCTTTGTTTTGCTTGAACATAAAGGGATGTTTTTAATGAAGAGAGAGAGAGAAAAACATTACAAAGTGAACTTGGAGGAGCAGGTATTTGGTGGAGCTGGCTGTTAAAGGAAAAGACACGTTAATAGAGCACAGCAGTGAAGATCAGCTGTATGAAATAAATGGACCAAAAAAGCCATAAAAAAACCATATTCCTCCCTCCTTCACTCAGCTTCTATCCTAAAGATAGTGAAAATGTGTTAATCTTGGTAATTGGTCCTTTGAGACTGATTAGGGTTTGGAAAAGTGTTGAGAAAATTAAATCTGTAGGAAACATACAATGTTTAAGAGGGAATTAATAATCTGAGTTGATAGCTCATGACCTTAGCAAAATGGAAAGACCCTATTTTAATAAGGAGAAATAAAAATTCAGATTTGTTTAGCTTGTAGGGTCATCTTAAACACAAGGAAACTGGCTATGCAGATTGGCCATTTCCATGATTTATTGAAATGTTTGAGTGCAAGGTGGGTCTTGCATGTTGAAATAAGAAGGTAAGAAATATGAAGGTTGCAGAGCTGAGGGAAAAAGGCTTAGATCCTCCCACAACTCTGGCTGCCTTGATTCTCTCTATAAAGAAAGCAGTATCATGATCAGCTGGAAATAAGATCAGCTCTCCTAGGCATAAAACCTATTAAGGAATTAATGTTCAGTGAACCTTACTTCAGTACTAATGAATTAATTGAAACAATAACTAAGTTATAAACCTTTTAGTGAGCAGTGAACAAGCTTCAGATCCTTGATTGTGTTTATGCCTTGCTAGTGACAGGCTAAATAGAAACGTGAGCTTTCCCACTGGTAAAACACATTTTCCCCCTTGGTGTGCCAGTGCTGATCCATACATACCATTTCCATGAGCTGGCAGGCAGCTTAAGGCTGGTGAAGTGTCAAGGGGGAAGACACATACTAGGCCTGAAGGACTGTCTCCCACTGCAGGATGGGCACAGACCCAGTGCAGCTTCTGCAGATGAGAAATACTTCACTAAATGTGTTGCAATTCTTGTCATGTCTGCAGAAGTAGCTGACAGGGAGCTAGTGCATGTATTGGATATTCTGCAGTCCCTACCAAGTACGAGCACCTCATACAAAGTTGCCTTTGACTGACAGATAACTGCCATGGATCAAAATCCTTTGATATCATGAAAGGCAAGGGGATTAAATGGTAAGTTTTCAATAAAGATGAGGGGACAACCACAATGAATGTAGGGCAGATGATCCTCTCTTGTGCATGTAGGGACTGCATAGCGGCAATCAAATGTGACATGAGGGCTTATTCCTTGTTCCCTCGTACAGTGGAGACAGGATTATGAATTGAGCAGCAGCCACCAGCAAAGCCCATCACTGCGGTTCTCCTGCTGCAGTGGAGCTGTCTGTGCCTGATGCACCTGTTCAGCTGCTGCCTGTGCTGCAGTGGAGCTGTCTGTGCCTGATGCACCTGTTCAGCTGCTGCCTGTGCTGCAGTGGAGCTGTCTGTGCCTGATGCACCTGTTCAGCTGCTGCCTGTGCTGCAGTGGAGCTGTCTGTGCCTGATGCACCTGTTCAGCTGCTGCCTGTGCTGCTGGGGAAGCTGCAGCACCGGGCTGGGAGTGCCCAGGTTGCCAGCCCCGTGGCAGGGGAGTGAGAGATAAGGACTGATGGAGCGGAGGAGGATGCTGTGAATCCCTTTGCCACTCTGTACATCGTTACGGTGCGGCAGAAGATGCCTGAGGAGAAGGCAGATTGCAGAGATTACGTGTTCTAGATTGTGAATATTAATCCCAGAGGAACATCACAGTATTTCTAGGGGGAATTAATGACATGAGATGATGGCCCATGACCATGTCATGGGAAATTCCTTACAGCTAAATACGAGGCAGTGCAAGCTGGAAGGAGCTCTTCGCAATGTTCACACTATCAGTCAATTTTGAATTAACTGTAACTACTCAAGGTAAATCTTGGATGTCAGAAACAGATTTACAGGTATCTGGGAAGGCTCCTGCTTTCCAATATCTGTACATCTGTGCAAGTGGGAGGGGGCAGAGGAACAGGGCAGAATTTAAACAAAAGGAGAGATGTATTTAAAGGCTTAGCTTCCTCTAGGCTGGGCTCCTGGCTCTGAGATGAGCTTCCTCATAATGTAGTCCTGCATGAACTTGGGGTTCCAAACATATCTGTACCTGTAAGCAACTGTCTAAGTAATCAATACACTTTTTTTAAATTGGATCCATACATTTCTAAGCATTTATGTAATTGCCTAATCTTCACCCAGCATTTGATGCTGTATGAATATTATGTATTTTAAAGAATGGATAGAGAATGCAGTCTGCTGGAGGTCTTAATCAATCCACTTCTTAGACTGAATCAGGATCTTCAGCCATCCACTTGCAAAGGTACCAGTGGCAGTAAATGGAGAAATATTAGTCTGGTATAGGAACATGATATATAAGAAATCCATCTTTCTACTATGATAAGTACAAAGATTAAGAAGTAATGAGATTGCTTAGTAAGAGACACAATTCTTAAGGAAATTATAGAATATGTATATCATAGCATCAAGAAATAATTCTAAAGAAGAAGAATCAAGCTGTCAATTAAAAACAGTTCAAATAGTTTTAATAGTCTCATTTCCCTTAATTAAATAATACTTTTTGTGAAAATATTGCTACCTACAATCTGTCTGCAGTCTGGTTGCATTTAAATGTATATTGTATTTGTATTTGTATTTTTTTTTTTCCAATAGTGGTCAACCCATTCCCAGAGTGGAGTACACAGCTGAAGAAGTTAAAACTTGGGGGGTGGTATTTAGGGAACTAAGTAAACTCTATCCCACTCATGCTTGTCGTGAATATTTAAAAAACTTTCCTCTGCTGAGCAAGTACTGCGGATACAGAGAAGATAATGTGCCTCAGTTGGAAGATGTTTCTATTTTTCTTAAAGGTAAGATTCGTATTTGGTTTATCAATGGATATGGTTTCATAAAACACTCTTTTTTTTGTTAGTATGGAGTACAAAGCACATTGAAAGAAAAGACTCACAGCATTGTCAGTGGCCTTTGGTTTTACCTGAAGTATCCCTCTGGTTTTGGTGTTGTCTGTGGCAGAGAGTTTTTTGAGTCAAGACAGTTTTATGTAGTATTTGAAAGTATGAAATGGAGAGAAATGAATCAGCTGAACATGTAGAGCAGGATGTTATCTTGTACAGGGAGAAAATCCCTCCATATGGTGAGAAGGAAGAGCTGAGCTAGGGCTGCTCTCTCATTGCCATTCAAAATCTCACACTTCTTTCAGAAATATGTTTTCAGACTACGCAGAGCAGGTAGTGGTACCTGTTGCAGAAAAACTTGAAACATTGTCCTGTACAAATTTTGAAAGAATAAGGAACTAATTTTTGAGAGAAACATGCTTTCTGAAGTCATCGAGTCGGAAATTGTTTCACTCTGGGACTAATCTGAAAAAGGAACACTGTTAAATATTTCAGTGAGGACCTCAACTATAAAAATAAGTATTTTATTGACACGAACAATATTTTATCTGTAAAAATAAGGACAGTTTTGTTTTAATCCTATTCTGTTCTGTTAGTTTTTTTAACATAATTTGCATATTTTCCGATATGGATCTTCTCTCCCATTTGGTACCAGACATAAAAATTTTAAGAACATCACTTATGGTACCTTAGCAGTTTTTTCTAGACAAAGATATCCAGGTCAACTTTGAAGTACCTCAGGCTGCTTTTATTATACTTACACTAGCAATGCAAAGTGCTTCTTGTATGTAATAATTGAAAATGATGTGTGGTGATGGTCAAGATTCTTTGTGTCATGCTTCTGGTAGAACAATTAACAACAGGTCTGCCGCCAGAAAGTGATACAGTGATCTGTGTAATGTGGTCTTTCATTATCTCCTTCACTTCAGAGAGGTCTGGCTTCACAGTGAGACCAGTTGCTGGATACCTGTCTCCCCGTGACTTTTTAGCTGGCCTAGCATACAGAGTCTTTCACTGCACTCAGTACATACGGCACGGCTCAGATCCCCTCTACACACCAGAACCGTAAGTTGCTGCCTTCTCCTCAGTACTGAAAAAACATACTCAGTTTCTTGAGTGAAACAAGTTAATTTGCCAAGATTGAAAAGAGGAACCTTTCTACAAAATGTGAAATTCTTCTTACACTGTTGATGACAAAATCCTTCACAATTGCGAGCCAGAATTTAATTCAAAGACTTTTTTGTTGACTTTTACAAGGGTCTTAAATAACTGGGCTATTTATATAGTGGGCCAGAAATACTATTTAAATTATATTTCAGTGGAAAATGGAGTTTTCACCTAAAAAATTTTGAAAAAGTGTCTATAATTTTAGCTTCTGCTGGACAACTAGAAAGAAGTTGTGGAAAAATCCCCCTAAATATCCTGAAAAAACCCCTGCTTTCAGAATTCTAATTTGGTCTCCTGTGTCCCAATTTTTATTTTTTTATTTTTTTTTGACCAGGTTCCACACCTGAACTTCATTTCTCTCCTATAACACAGCACAAGAAAGACATGGGGCACTACTCTCTTACCAAGAGAGAATATTAGATATGAAGCCTGTTACAGGGAAATTATGACAGAAATAAGAGATACTTTAATTACAACTTTTATAGGACAGCATTGCAGCTTTTCCAAAAAAGAATATTGCGAGTTAATGTGAAATATTTTGGCATATGATCTTTTGATGAAAAGTGAGGAAAAAGAAGATCAAAGAGATTGTAGTTCTTGTCTTGTGTTATACATGCTGTATTCTGTGCAGTAATAGCAGAACAGTACATGTCATTTAGACAATAAGGAGGTAGTTTTACCAAAGTTATCTGCTGATCTTGTAGCCACAGGAATGACATTTTTGCAGTGAATCAGTCATCAGGCAGTTAGCATGAAATTGTAGCTGTGGTTTAATCAGCTTGGACTACTTGAGTGTGTTTGATTTATTCCCAAATTTACACAAAGGATTCATACACCTATATTCAGCTCCAGTTCTGCAAACATTTGGATTGATGCCTCAGTTTGATTCCATGAACTGACTGCCAAAACCATGGAGTAATGTTTTTGAATATAGAAGGTTTAGTGGCGCTGCATACTAAGCTGTGTGTAAAAATGCAGAAGCTTTATTCAGGCAGGAGTCACCAGGTGGTGCTGTTAGACACTCAGCTACCTTTTTCCTCAGCCCCTGAGCTGGGTGAAGTACTTGCTGAAATGCTCTGAGACTAGCTTGGCCTGAGTGCTGCTTTTGGAAGGGAGGTGGTGATCCCTGAAGGAATTCAGTCGCTTCTATAACCTCTGTAATTAGAACTGAAATCTCTTAGATCTGTAGGCAAATTGATAGAATGGGAAATCTTGAAAGAAGGGCTTGGGTGGAAGGAAGGGCTGAACCTCTTCTGGTCTATTTAAAAATATCTGTTGATATTTCATATAAATAAATGATACAAGGGACATACCAGGCTTTGCATCAATGATTTCCTCTCCTGTGGGAAGCCAGTGTTTCAGGCTGCAGCATGCACCAGTGTTCAGCAAAAGAATGATGATGTTTATTAACTTAGTACAAACTAGAAGAACATTTTCATCTACTGATAAGACATTTAGGTACATAACTCCAACAGGATAAAGGCAATAACATCTTCCAGGAAGCAATTAAATGTGTCTGTGCTTTTCCTGATGTTCTCTGGTTCATTGATTTGTGTATTTGAGAGCCCTGCAGTTCTCAGGATGCTGCTTTTACATTCAAAATTATGCAGTGGATCTTAGCTGATCCTTAGTAGTAATGGCAGCTGCTTGTTTGGTAACCTTTCTGGTTACTTGCTGTCTGGAAAGTTGCTGAGTAATAATAACAGTTGAGTTAGAATGAAGGTTTTTATTCCTTATTTGGGCTGAACTTAAAAATACAGGTTATGGTCTTAACACCTCTAAATATGACTAACAGAGGATGGAAGTTGTCATTTTCTAGTGATGCTATACCCTCTTCTTGCAGACCTACTGGTTCACATTAGTTAAGTAATGTGTACTGACTTTCAGGAACTCCATAGGAAAATTTTGAAAATCCCTTTAAAAATGTGCTTATGTTTTTTACCATAACATAGAACGTACGAGTAAGTGTTACCAGAAGTGTAGGGTGAAAGCCTGGTGCTTTTCTAAATCAGTGGCAAAACTAAATTGACTTGAGTAGGGGACAGCTCTTAATCTTCTGCAGTAGCTGCAATGCCCTGAGATCTCCTGGTTGATATATGGGGCCATAATGAGGTTTGCTGCAGGTCCCTGGCTGGTGAATGTTGCATTTCAATGATATAAACCTGGTTAAAAGGCTCCCTTTGACTTCAGTGGGCTTTCCATCAGATTTAACACCCAGGCTACAGAGCTAGATACAAATTAGAGAGTTCATTTGGTTTGATCTGTATCACAACCATATGCATTTTAAAACATATTTCTTCCTGATTTTAATTATGTTTCTACTACATTCACAGAGCTATGTAGATTTCTTCTGCTCTACTAACTAATTTACTCCAAGAAAAATCTTTTGCTGTGAAAAGTGCATTAAAAAAATCTTATTTTCTCTGAGCAATGTGTGTGAATAAATTAAAGGAACTTAATTATTTTCAGAATAAGACAAAACAAAAGAATCAAGCCTTGGTAGTTAAGCGAAGAATTATATTATTTAGACTATCTATAAAGGGCCAGACTAGCAGGGAAGTCTAAAAGACTTCAATGACAATCCCAAATGCTGGTTCATGTTTCTGCCTGAAAGATTTTATGGGTTTGGGTTTTTTTTATTGTTCTTATGCTTTTTGCTTTAAGCTCCCCTCTTTGTAACTGCACATTCAAAATACTACTTTGCATAGCTTTAATGGAAGAATCTACAAGCTAAAGGCATGAGAGAAATATCTTCTGCCTCCTCATTCTTTTCCCCTTGCCAAGAGAGACAAGTTAATGGGATTAGGCTTTGTCTGTTCTCATTTTGTCTGCAAGAGTGGACAGAAGAAACAACATGTGTCCCAGTGCAGAACTGGGAATAAATCAGCTTTGCTTATTTGTTTCTGGGGGTTGTGGCTTCAGCACAGGAAAATAGAGATGTAGGCTCAGGTGTCAGTAGTAGTGATGCTGCTGTAAAAGCCTGCCTGCAGGTGAGTGTGCTTACCTGGAGCCAGGCACTTGGAGCCAGTTTCACTGTTTGCTTCTGCTTGAACTGCTGATACAAAGCTAAATATATCTGGACTGATGGAGTGTACCATGGATGCACAGCAATTAGTGTTGGTTTGCCCAGTGGAGGTAAGAATTGTTGTGCTGGGCTTCCAGAGAATGGCTTTGTGGCCCATTTTTATGTTGGAAGTTGATGGTTGGAGAAATCAGGCTCCGCCAGTGAATTGCTTGGTACTGGGAAGTGGTGTGTCTGTCTGACTGCAAACCAAATTTCCCAGCTGTCCTTTGCATTGTTAGTGAGCTAAATCTTGAAGGAGATGATAGAAGAAATTGTGATTGGAAAGGAATTAATTTAAGCAGGGCCTTTAGCTTCGGTGGTAATCCAGTTAAGCGATGCAAACCTCCTCCTGAACAAAGAAATGGAGGCATGCAGAGCTAACCAATTTTTCCAGTCTCAGTTCCAATGAGAAAGGGACTACCAGCTAGACTATGGGTCTTGTTGAATGAATTGCTCACATGTGAAATTGGGTCAAACTTGTCACACACAACTTCTTGTGATGCTTGTCTCACCAAAAAGTGTGACTGCAACACGAGCAGAAATTGCTCTGCATCTGTCAGTGAGACCATTTGGACTGAGAGGGAAGACTTGTATGTGTCCCTCCAGTTTTGGAACTGTGTTTGATACACTTCTGGTGAGGCAAACTAGGAATACCAAAAACTTTAATTTTCACTTGTATATTCAGAAACTTCTATTTACTACTATCTACCTACACATTATTGGTTCAGACTTTTTGGTGAGGATAACGAGTAAGAAGATTTAAAATTATATAGGGGGTTGTTTTTCTGTTCATGATTTATCTGAAATGTCATGTTCTGTGACTTTTCAAACAAAAATAGTTTGTAAAAGACAAATTGGATGATTTTCGGTAGAAGGCAGAAAACTTGATGTTTTCTTCCTGCCTTTAAAACATTTGTTTACAGCTTAGGATAAGGGAAAAAAAAAAAAAAAGAGAGAGAGAGAGAGAAATGTCTTTGAAGAGACAAAAGCAAAGGAAATGTCAGATTGGATTTTTAAAGTGAACTTTACTACCAAGTCCATTATTTCCTGCGAACAAGCGCAGCAAAACTTTCAGAATTGTTTGAAAGCTTTTCTAGATGATGCATGTGCACTTCCGTTAGCAGTTTTTTGTACACTTATGTCTGCACTTTGTCATGACTAACAATGCACTTACAGATGTGAACAGCTGTTCTTTTTGAAATGATTTGGATTCTCTGCTTTTTCTGAAATTGGCTTGCTGAAAAGTAGACTGCATAACAAAAGTACCCAGTAATTGCAGTAGGATCTTCTGACTAAATGAGAAATTAGGTGCACAGAAACCTCAGTAAATATTGCCCCATATTTCTGGGGGCAAGTGACAAAATGTCTGCTGTGGGGTGCTACCCAGGTACAGAAAGAGGAATGGACAAGAGGAAGAGGAAATGTGTTGGATTTTCATTTATGTGGAGAGAAAAGCTGAAAACTGTTCTTATGGGACATTTGGCTTTCCTCTGGGCAGTTCAGTCTTCATGTCACCAAGCTGGAAAGGTTGTAGTGATCAGTCTCTTCCACTCAGTCTGGAAATGATGAGCAAATCACAGAACAGCTGGGGTTAAATGATATATAACCTATTTAACAGAAACAAATGTGTGTGCTTCTACCTACACATAGAAACTATATATACAGGGAAGAACTACACTGTAAAAACCATGTTTCATTGAAAGACTTCTAAGGTAGGGGTCAAACCCATGTAAAATGGCTTATGTTAAATTAATTACAGAATTATTATGGTATTAATTTCTGTAATGACTCTCTTTTCATTTCCATTCCCTTAGGGATACATGCCATGAACTCCTGGGACATGTGCCTCTACTTGCTGATCCCAAATTTGCACAGTTTTCACAAGAAATAGGACTTGCTTCACTGGGAGCATCTGATGAAGATGTCCAGAAATTAGCCACTGTGAGTCAAAATCTTTTTGTGACATGCTCTCTCATCTCTCCTCCTTTTTAGCTGATGAACTGATGTGCATTGTTGTATTAGAGGTGACTACATTTTCAGGTTCCAGGTGACTATGATGTGACAATCACAGAGCTTTAGGTTTTTTTCCCATTGTTTTTGAGAAGACCAAAGCTGATCACACTGAGTAATCAGTTTCAATTTTTATTTTTAATAATCACCAATTTTCAGGGCTAGCTGCAAATGAATTTTTTCTGCTTTTGTTTGCTTTAAGGTGCTGGAAATGAGTAAGAAAGGTAAACTTGGGAAAAAAAATACAGCATTTTGATGTGTGCTCTGATCTCTAGACTGTTAGCTCCTCCACAGATGGCCACTTTAGCTCCTAGCACTGATATTTCTGTACTCACTGTTCAGTTTTGCAGCTCTTAATTTTATTCCAGTGTGTGATGGATTTTAGGATGATATTGCATCCTTACTTGGTGCTCCCCTTGGAGAATATTAAGCCAAGGCTGTGTAGCAGTAGATCAAGATCAAGTGCCTTGGCCAGCAGCTGGGAGATGGACTCTGTGTTGAATCAAGTGAGGCACAAGTCAGCAGAGAGTGTGAGCTGTCTGTGTGTTAAAGTTGTTAGATGCTGCTGAGACTGAGCTTTCATGGCCTTTGTGTGAGGGACCCTGTTAAGCTGTCATGAGTCTCCGCTCCTGAGCTCCTGACAGCCCTGTTCTATTGCCATATTCCAATAACTGGGATGCAACCCTTTGCATCATGACATAAATTAGTGGTCTTTACCACTTGCTTTGTTCATTTGTTTTACTTACTGTATATTTCCTTTGGTGGATCCTGTTAAAACTAATGTGGCAAATAATTTAAGGAGCTGTATTGGATTAAAAAACTCCATATTTATAAAGCTCCATATTTAAACATTCTATCTTCTGAAAAATTCTGTGAGATTGGGCAGGGGAATTGGTTACTTTAAAACTTTTGCAGCATACTGCTGCTCTTCTACACGAGAAGTGCAGTGGGGATTTAAAGGCTTGGAAATAAGTGTTGGATGTGGAGTCGAATTAGGTTCAATTAAAACGCAGAAGTTTTGGTGCACTGGCTTAGCAGAGGCTTAGAGTCCTATCTGCCAAAAAAGGTGTTTGTACCCCTTTGACTTGAATCTCCTGGCTTCTCCCAGAAGAAGTCACTAAACTAAATCAAACTCTCTTCACTCCTTAGTTAGACAGGCTCGATGCCTTGCTCATGGCCAGCTCCTCTCTCATGATTCTGGGTGTGTTCCTTGTTTTTCCAATGGATGTCTGTGGAGAAGAAACCGTTTGTTTGGAGGAATCATTAATGTTGAGTGGGTATTTCCACCATTTACTTCAATGGGTCTTAGTAGGAAACAGACCTACCTTGCAGTCTCAGGAGAAGCTACCCAACTGGCTGTCTCTGTAAGTACTGTGAGGAAAATGGCATCCCCAAATATGTCACCCCAAAATAACCTTGGATGACAGGGGCCTGTTGCAGAGGATGAAGTTGGTACTGGGCTGTTTGGGTAGAGATCTTAATATAAAGTGACCTCTGAATATTATATAAATGCTTGTACTCCTCCCCCTCACAAAAGTTCCCAGTTATGACTGAATGTGTCATCTGAACAATGAGCTGCTCCTGAATCATAAAGCAAAAAATAAAAGAAGGCAGCTGAATCACTTTCCCTTATCACACTGAGAATCTGATATCTGAGTCAAAGTTGATTTCTCCTCCCATGCTGGAAATAGCTCTTTCAGGTGGAAGACACATTCAGGAAGAGTCTGGCGGTGTTATTTTTTTGTAGGAGCACAATGAGGGGCTGCACTCCCCTGGGGTAGATGCTTGACAAATACAGAGATGTTACTTGCCCTAAAATGTGCAGTGTAAACAGCCAACTTGAGTGCAAGTAGAAAGAACACCTCTCAGTGGTGAGGGTGAGGAGGCCAAGAAATTCACTCAGCTAGGCACCGAATGTCACCTGAGGTGCCATTGACTAACATTTGCTGCATTCAGTCCCATTTCCATCCCAGATAAAAAACAGACGCAGCAAGCTGAGAAATGCCAGCCAAGAGTCTTAACACAGAAAAGCGTTGCAGGTTCCAGTGAGGTGACTTCCAAGTAAATAGAGAAACGAATGGAGAGAGAGTATGCATATTAATGAGCTTGAATCAATATGCCCAAAGCAAGCTTGCCATTAGCCTGACCTGCTTCAAAAGATAGTGACATTAAGTGCTGAGCCATTACGGGGATGACAATGACATTAGGAAGAGAGGAAAACACTTCTTAGGAATTCAGACCAGAAAGAGGAATTATTGCAGGTGATTTCATAATCTTTTGCTCCATTCTGCTCTCAGAAAGACACTGTGTATCAGCTTTGATAGATCTGCTTTTTGTGCCCTGCCCTGAGCTGCAAAGGAAGGGTCTGATGCTTTTGTCCCTGCAGGGCTGACACACTGGATGTAGAGCAAGCTGCAGCCTGGTGCCTGGGCAGACTAGAAGCGTTTTGTAAATTGCTATTAGTTATGTCTGTGCAGCCCCATCGAGGGCAGGAATTAAATGGGAGAGCATTGCAGGGGCTCTGGTGCTGGCCAGCTGGAGGGAGAAGAATGGCTGCAGGGGAAGAGAGTTGAAAAGACAGTATGCAAGTTCCCTTCATCCTCATGGGGTCTTGTACGCAGATAGGGGAAAGAAGAAAGGAACTGCTTCTGCTTTGTCATGAGAGTGGAATACTGAAAGAGCCAAAAGACTGTCTTTTCGTGGTTTGTTGAGAGATTCCATTTTCATTTACAATCTTTTAGGAGAGTAAGAAAGAGGAAAGACACAAAAAAAAGGTGGCAGAGGTAATGTTACTGAAACAGAGTGAAGTATTTGCACAATCCAATTCCTTTAGTGGAATGTGATTTAATGCAGTTACTGGTTTAGGAAATACAATATTAACCATGCATATCTGGTTTCTTATTATCATCATCTTTACTCATGTCTTGTCCTGTTCTGACTGATTTTCTAAAACTGCTTTTGAGCTAATTTTTCAGCATGTCTGATCTTCCTATTTTCACATAGCACAGAAATAAAAAAGGCTGTCTTTTCTGCTTACCTATCAAACCATAAGCTGTGGAGAGCACTTGACATGAGGTGTTTCAACTAATTTATGTAGTATATGATTTACAACATTTAATAGCACGTAACGTAAGGTTTTGTCAGAAAAATTGTACCAAAAAATGCATCTCGATTTACATTTCAGTGTTAACTTGTAATTTGTGGACTTGGGAGCTGTCTTTGTAAAGCTGCAAGTTGCTAAGCAGGAACCTGCTTATCTTGCTAATGGCAGAAATGACTCCTGACTCCTGCTAAGTTATTTCAGCACAGCTCAGGTTGTCCCCTCAAGATGCAGTATGTATAGGATGTGTTTGTGTAGGCGAAATTCAGTGGGTGGCAGTTCAGAAAAGGGGATAGCAGAGTGTCTTTTTCATGCAGTTCATCACCAAGTCTTTCTGCCCAAGAATTTGGTCATTAGGGCCTAATTAGTTTCACTAAGTTTTTTCCCAGTCATTACTCACAGTAAGTTATATTTCAACATTCAGTTCTTTAGAGCTGTAAAGCTTTCACCTTTTCATCTTTCTTGATAATATTTGTTCTTGAATTTTAACAGCATGGGACAGTAAAAATCAAGAAATTTCTTTAGGTCTGGCTGTCCTTTAAGTGGAAAACCACAAAAATTGCTTCTAAATCTGAAGGAATTGTGTGTGATGAGATCTTGTAAAAAACTTGTTATGAATCTTAAAGTTTTACCTTGCCTGGATGACTGAGGCCAATAGCTCATTTCTAAAGCTAACTTCAATTTATCTGTGTATGTATCACAAACAAATTTTTTAGAAGTATATACTGAGTTAAAAAAACTGCCTCTCTCTGGCTTGTGGTAATTCTTGTGACTTTACTTGCCTGCCTTACCTCAGAATCTCTATTTTCCTGTCTTGTTGACATCATTCTAGACCTTTTCCCACACTGGAGATCTGGCACATAATTCAGGACAGTTCTCCATTATGTTTGCTGAGGACATAACCAGAATAGAAGAAACAGAAGCATTTTGGATAAAGACTGAGCAGCATTTGGTAACTTAGGGAAGACTCAGTGTTTGTGGTCTCACTAGATAGAATAGCCTATCATCTTCACAAATAACAGATTAGATTTCCCATAGGGACTATTTAGTACTGGCAGGCTGTAAGTACAGTTTGTGAACTGGCTTACTGTCTGCTTCCATGGATGAGCTGAGAAGAAAATTCGAGATTTTGAACATTCTTGCTACATCTAAAATCAAGACCACCTGTGTGTTTCTCGTTTATAGTTGTGAAATGACTGAAAGGGAACTAACCATCATTGTAAGCCCGTGACCAGTTCCCCTGCTGAAGCTATTCTGACATATAAAAATAATTATGTATTGGCCAACTGAAACCTCGTATTACAGCCCAAGAGCTATGGCAGTCACAGAGCATATTGAAATTTGACATTCAAATCTCTGCTTAGTCTTTTTTCTGTGTCCCAGTTGCATGCTATGTATGTGTGACAGATGTCAAGGGTGAGCACCTTAAATCCAGCGGTGACATAATGGAGTTTCTTGGAAAAGTGTTACTTCCAGGTACAGCTGTAGTTAGTGTATAAAGGAGCAGCAGCATGAAGAGCTGGGAGTGAATATGACAATTAAAATTGCTTGAGTAAATTTTGCTGGGCTTACAGGAAACATATGAAATTATTCTGATTTGAGCTGTATGTCACTTAAGGGAGATGAATCAATTCCCAGGATAAAAGCTAGGAAGATAAAGCTGAAATCAGGTATGATGGATCACTATAGACAGACACTGTCCTGCTATACCATGATCTGTATTGTTTATCAATAGATGGCCTGGGCAATGTTTCTGTTCCTGACTTTGACCAGGCAAAACCACCCATATGAAGATGTATTTGGAAATCGCCCAAGTGTGAAAACTGAAACT